TTCTAACAGGAAAAGTAACTTTCGTTATCATGGAATTATAACAAAACCTGCCAATTCAATATAAATGGAAAAAAAATATTATATGGAATTGAACGAAAATGAAAATTTGCTTGATAATTCAACTACGCTTGTTGGAGAACAATAAAAACACTACACTCAACAAGCCACCAATAAAACTCAACTGCCTAACCTATAACCAAAGTCTCCTTTAAAAAAAAGCGCTTGACAAACTTGCCCCGCATGCCGAAGTTGCCCCGGTCTCCCCTAAATATAAGTAAAAATATAAGTAGATTATAATTTTATAATTAATATTCTATTAACTATTAATAAACGTTTACATTTTATGTCAAAGTTATTATATATGGTATTAAGGAAATACAAACATGTTTATCTATTGCTAATTTTAACATGAACACACTGAATATACAAACTTTAATTGAAAATCGACTAATGTTACGCAAATTAACATTTCCCGCTTTTCATCAGTGATAAAACACTTACAAGGCCATGGAGAGAGGGGAGCTGGGGATTTTTTCCGGCTCGAAGCAAACTTAGGAGTCCATAGTGATTCATACATCTATACTAAGAAATTATCTAACAAAAAGAGAAAACTTTAAGACTGGTTTTTATGAATAAAATATCATTCTACGCATTTTATTTCTTCATAAAATGACCCTATTCATGGTCCCATGCAACATCTCGATAGTTGTCTGTAGACCTACTCACATTGTGCTCACGGTTTAAAAATGATTGATCCTAACATAAGTTAAAGATCCTATACAACATTGCTCTATTAAAGTTATATAGGATTTAGTAACCTATTTTAGTGTAGCATTTCCCCCATTTTTTCATATTATAGTTTTAAATTTCGCGCTATTATTAGATATTGAAATTTCATGCATTTAACCTAACTTTAAAGTGCAGTTTGCTTGATCCAAAAAGTTGTATATTATATTATATAAGCTGTTTCAAAGATTTTTATGAAGAACTAGATTTATATAGATATATAGGCTATGCATTTTCTTCATTTAACAATTCCCACATGAGACTATTTTATGATCATTTCCAAATTTCAAATTATATTATAATTTATTGTATACCAAGTTTAGATACATATGTTTAATTTTAATTTAAAAATGAACTCTTTTTCTATCAACATGTGATTATTACGAAAATAGACATTTACGAGTACGCTTTTATTTACGAGTACTGGATTACTATAGTAATCCTCTCTATTACGTAACAACCTAAAGAGGCTAAAATTTTGATAAAATTACGTAATATAGTAAAAAATTCACAATTAAAATAATAAAAATACCGAAATGGTGGAAATTATTTATTCTGTTCAGTTTTTATTATTTAAAATAGAGTATTATACTGTTGCCAACTTCATCCAACAGAGGGCATTACACTAAGGAAGTACGAGTTGTTTCGTCTGCGAGAATTTTGCTTCACACGTTGCTGTAAATAAAAAAAAAAGATATGTGTACATTCGTATGTAAAGAACACGGTGAAAAATGGCAAGAAATGGATAAAAATCATTAACAACAGGACATACAGCTCGATTTGTGACAGTGGATTAATGCTTAATAGAACTGGATTACTGTGTATTAATAATTTTCATATGCCAAATACTTTTTGAAGTGATTCAAATGCAGTAGAAGGGGAAAATGCTTATGTTTTATCGAAAGCGCCTGAGTTCGTGTTAAAAGTAAGTTTTATTATTATGTAATACAACAGACAGTTATTTTACAATGAATTTTTAACACATATAGAAGTAGTATAAAATTTTGATAATTTAAGTCCAGTTATATACATATATATATATATATATAAAAATGAAATATTTATTATCTTTATACATTCTACTTGAAGAGATTAGATTATAATATATGGTTGGCAAATTTTAAAAACAGATAAAAAAAAAACAAGTTGGTAGATACACAACTTTATTTCAGGTTATAGAAAAAAGGGGTATTGTTTACA